TGCTGTTGCTGAAATTTTCGATAGAAAAATGAAAATGTGAGTTTAACTAGAATATTTCCAGTCAATTTGTGTTTATTTTGTGTTGGCACCAAAATTCGAAATTGAGCTCCAATAAAATTGGAAGAAATTTGAAGAAAATAAGCAACGCGATACTCCCAAAATCGCCGATAACTTGTGCAGAGATAGTCGAGGTTTACAAAAATCCAAATGTAATGGAAAATTACGGAATGTCTTTGCAGAACGGTTCAGACGAGAATGCGCTTCCATCATATCCATTCTACAAGACAGCATATGAATGTAAAGCATTTTCCTATGTGGTATTTGCTTCTGAGAATGTCGTCAATGCAATTGAACGCATTCCGAAAGATAAACGCAAGTTTCTGATGGATGCCACTTTCAAAATTTGTCCATTTGGTATTTACAATCAACTACTGGTGATATACGTTGAGTACTTGGGCGAAGTAGGTATACTTTGTTTCTTTAAAAAAAATTGTCTATTTATTTGTCATGAATATTTCTCAATTTGTATGCCTCAGACTACACCATTTTTGTTTGTTCTGATGTCACGGAAAACCAGACGATCATATGAACATGTTTTTAAATATATCAAAAAAAACATTATTGATTTGGGTGATGGGTCTTCCATAATGACCGATTTCGAGACCGCAATGCGGAATGCATTGCGAACAGTGTTCCCTTCAATCGAACTTTTGACTTGTTGGTTTCATTTTGTTCAGGCCGTCAAAAAGCGTGCACTTCACCACAATTAATACCGTATTTATATCAAAATCAAGAGGCTCGCGAAATTTACTATAAGCTGCAAAGTCTGCCGTTGCTTCCGGCCAAAGATATCGTGCCCGAATTCCATAAATTGAAAGTTCTTGCTTTGGCCAATCACAGAGAGGTGTTTGCTGATTTCATTAAATATTATGAAAACCAATGGATTATCAAGGTTTGAATTTTAATTGAAATTTAGAAAAGGAAAAAGACTCAATCAAATTCTACGACACATCTTTTTAGGAAGGACCTGAGAAAATTTCTGTTTTTAATCTATGGACACGTACTACAGGGTCATTAGAAGCATACAACGGTGCCTTAGGAAAGCGCATAATGAAAAAAGGGCACTTCTTCAAATTCGTTAAGGTGTTGCTTGATGAGGAGTTCCGTAAATGTAGAAATTTCTACTCTCTGTTAAGTGGAAGGGACGACAAACCAAAAACCAAAAGCAATAAATATCAGGTTTGTTTACAGCATGTGATTGTTCTCCTTGTGATTTAGACACACTTTGATTGGATTTAGTTTTTCATTTCATTTCATTTCGTTTGAACAGACACTTTTATTTCATTCAATACACAATTTTGCTCCAATTTTTGTTCATTAAAATGCTCTTTTTTTCTCGCTTCTTTCTCTCTCTTTGGATTCGTGGAGAAAAAATTATGGTCAACAGCAAGTTACTTTCGGATGGGCTATTGGAGCCTTCCCAATTTTTGGATCAGATTATTTACCAACAGAATATAAATGATTTTGGAATGATGGACACAGGAAATGTTAATATTTTGTTGGATGTGGACGACGACGATGAAGAAATGTTGGAAGAAACTGAGGAAACATCTCCACCCGTCTCAAAATCGGACACAAACAGCAAATTTGGCACATGCATTCTTTGCAATCTTTTGGAACCCGACATTTTAATGTTACCTTGTTTCGATTTTAGCATCTGTGAGCCTTGTTACAATATAATGAAAAACAATTGTGATGAGCCAATTCAATGCCCCAAATGCAAAGGTTCAGTTCAACAAGCCCGAAAAATGACATCAATTTAATTAATAAAAACCATACCCATACCACAAGATTTACATTTTTTGGATTATTTCAAATTTTTATTTATTGGTATTTCTGGATTGCGGTAAAAAATTCAGCCCAGAGCGAATTTTGGGACCAATTTCGGGAAATTTAATAGGTCTTGTATTAGCGAAAAATGATCAAAATAGCCGTATTTCTATACTTTGGTTAGAAAACTTCATTTCAAATGTGATTCATTTTTTACAAGGGCGATGAATAAATACGCTTATTTTGAATTTTTTTTAGTCTTTCAAACTGAATTTTTTCATCCAGATGAAAAAAATCGTTACACAAAATTTATTTCGATGAGATTTTTTGTAAGCCACAAGGAAATATTTCATCCGATGAAAATTGACAGTTTTTATGATGAAATATTTTCATCGCAAATGGAATATTCTCATCCGGATGAGAACATTCCATGAACAATGATAAAAAAATTCATGATGAGATAATTCACCCCGCCGAACAAATGAACCAAGAAACAAACACAACAAGAAAGCATGCCAACTGATTACCTGCATCTCATTCAAACACAAAGACATACCGTGCCACCGCGCTGTGTATATGAATGGTTCGGAGCGAAAATGTAATACAGAAAAATTGAGCGGAAAAATGTCAAATGAAAAAGGATAGCTATATAGTTCACTATAGTTTACTATACAGTTTACTATGTATATAGCTATCCCTTTTCCGCTCATTCATCATCTACATTTTTACGCTCAACTTTTCTGTATTACATTTTCGCTCCAAACCATTCATATATGCAATGACGATGTTCGAACGAGTGAGATACAGAGTGGCACATAATGCGTCGTTCGTCTTTCTCCTTGAAATTTGTGTGCGTTTGTATGTCAAAACTGGCCAAATCTATAATTCCAAAATTTTCAAAGTCCTTCTATTTTCTTATCTGAAGCGACGCGACATGGGCTTTTGACGCAAAAAAAACATATAAAAAAATCACCATGAAAAAACTAATAAGAGATAAGATATTTCTCTTCAGCAAAGTTTTAGAGGATTTCGAATATTACGACTTTGTTAAAGTTATCAAACCTCTACCTCTTATCAGCATCATGAAAATCCTGACCGAATGCAGACTATCACCCATTTTCAGTAGTTTCATCACACACATTTCGAAGCAATTGCTTAAACTGGAAGAGAATCCAGTGGAGTGGGGGGATCCGACTTGGTCCAATGTGTTTTGGAAATATAATCCTCCAGTAATCATCCCCTAAGGATTCGCAAAATTTTTGCAATATTTTTGCAGAATTCCGCTCGGATCAGCCTCAAAATTGAAAATGTGGGTCACTCTAATGTGCAAGTTGGAACATTTTTTCCCATTTTGATGAACAAAATGAAAAGGTTGCGGATCAAATTATTGAATTGATTGAAAATGTCACAAATATTTGCATTAGCGAACAGTTTATTGATTAATTTTCAAAAAATATGAGGTTTCTGCAAGTTCATTGTATTTCGAGTTTTATGCGATTTTTCTCTATTCTATTTGTAACAAATCATTCCAATGTTTTGACATAATTTTTGATAAAATGGAACAAAAAAATTTAAACCGAGGGGTAAAAGTTATTTCATGATGTTGCGCCGAGATAAATTTTCGAGGGGTAAATTAAGGTTTATACCTCGCGGGGCAATATTTATCCCTCGAGGTGTAAAAATTTACCTCTCACGGTGTAAAAGAAGATTTAAACTGAGTGTTCTGTCAAATTTGCGCACCAATACATCCAATTTCATGTCCATCCATGCTATTCTTCGTTTATATGTATAGAAACTTCTATTAAACGTTCAACATCTATGCTGAATGACATTTGTGTACGCTTATCAAGCGACAAACAAACACGCACAAACACACACCAACAAGCGCATGACGATTGAACATTTTGTCTGTTCTTACTCATTTGCAGGCGATTGCTACATTCATATAGCAGCGTGTGAATGAAATGCAAACAGTCAACGTGCCGTTCTCTCCACTTATCGTAGTGGCACAAACATCTACTGTATCAACACTCATAATAAAGCAAGCGTTTGTCTATATGCGAGAACAAAGCTGAAGGGGCGATGAAGGCTCTAACGCACGACAAAGTAACTTTGACAAATGATTTATATATGTTTTGGTGCGTTAAAAGTGACAGAACAGAAATCGGCATCTCAGTTTAAATGTAGTTTACACCTAGGTGTAAATATTTGACCTCTCGGTCCCAAAAATGAGTGAAAACATGATTTATAAAGATTGTAGTAAATGACAGGTTGTATGAACATACATTTCTGATCGATCAGGCCATCAAACTGCGTATGATTTGATCTTTATTCCAAAAAATAGTTTACCCCGGTGAACAAAAATTGACCATTTTTACCTCGGTGAACAAAAATTGACCATTTTTACCTCGGTGAACAAAAATTGGACAGACTTACCCCTCGGTGTAAAATTTATCCCGGTGAACAAAAATTGACCGTTAGTCAGCCAAATGTGTCAACTAGTGATTGAAATTACAATCATAGTGCGTACAAAATATAGTCGAAATGTCCCAAAATAGTCAACTGTGAATTGTTGAATCGCGTTGAATTGTATTGTTTTCACAGTCCCTGAGGATGGAACGCAAATACGCGTACGAAACGTCGGAACAACAGTGAAAAAGAGAATAAATGGGCCAACAATCCAAATAAAAACCACCAAAACTGGCTTTGATAAATGCAAGCTCTTTCTTGATATTTGACTTGGCGATTGCATATTGTGCACTTTCAATGCTTTAAGAATCTTCAGGATCGCACTGATCCAAAAAATCTTTGATATAGAAATCGTTTGTGTGTGTCGCAAGCAATAAGTCAACGTATTGAACGTCGAATTTTGGCACAAATACCATTTCAACACAATTTTCTCTCAGCATTATTCCATCTTTGTGTGCATTAATTGATTTTTAACGGTCAAATTCGATCGGTCCAATTCAAAATATCAATCGAAATATTTAACAAAAATTCAAAAATCGCTAAAGTATATACGTATTCTCTTTAAAAAGAGGTGAAAATATACAAAAACATATATTTTATATTTTGAAAAATATTTTGGTTAGCCCTGTATATAACTTGTTTTTTTTTTTTAATAAATAGAGTGAGTAATTAAATCCACATTCAGTTATCAACAGAAAATTCGAGAGTTGTGACGGTATGTGAATAACAGACGTTGCTCTATTTCGTTATCGTTATCGCTATTGATACGGTTTTCTGGAAAAAAAAGGTTTACTTTTACTTTTTCTTCAGAATTCTTTTTTTCGTATTAAATGTTTGTAATTTATCAAGTCAAATCAATAAAGCCATAAGGGAAATCCCGAAAGAATTTGGCTAAACATTATTTCTGAAAAAGGTGATTCACCAGAGAAAAAAAACTGGAGATAAAGTCAACGGCCAAAAGTTGCTATAATAAGCTGTAAACGTATTTTGAGCGGCATTTTTCAGTTGTAATCGACATCCTCTCGAGATTGCACGCAGTTATATTTACAATCAAAAAGCTAAAAATACCTTATTTCAAAGTAATTGAGTCATTTATATTGTGTTCCGGTGATTTGGTGACATAAATTAAAGAAAGTAAGTGTTATTGTGTTCAGTTAGTATTCGGTTTTGATGGAAAGAAGTTTATTAAAGTGAACGTATATGTTTCTTTTCTTTCATTTAGTCCAGTGTTGCAATAAATTGTTGAAAAATGTGGAAAAAGGAGTCAAACGGAAAGTATACCAACATTTTGGAAGTCAGCGATCGCTCACTTTCACATTTGATGGGAACTGGCGTGCAAACCATGAATAGTATGGCTCGAATAAATCAAAAATCGGATGAACAATCGAAAGAGCATCGTCTCAAAGGAAATGAAAAAGTCAAAGATCTCGAATGGCGTGAGGCAATTCAATTGTACAACAAGTGTTTGTGTTTTGCAAAAAAAGATTCCGAAAACATGAGTTTGGCATATGCGAATCGTTCGCTTTGCTTTCTCAAATTGAAAATGTACGAGAAATGTCTGATTGACATTGATTTGGCAATTGAGGCCGACTATCCGGAGGAAAAAGTGGGAAAGTTGAAGGAGCGCCGTGCTTTTTGTTTAAATGCACTGAAGCAAGAAACGCCAATTAAAAACGATGAACCAAAATTGGATTTTCCGGAGCATGGGCAGTTCCCAGGAATGGTGGATATCTTTAGCATGGAATATGATGAGCTATATGGACGTCATTTGGTTGCAACGAGTAACATTGAGGTTGGAAAAACGGTTATAATTGAAGAAGCATTCGTGAGTACACCGGTTATGTCAACGGAAAAAATGGTATGCAGTAAATGCTTCAAGGAGATGATGAATTTCATTCCGTGTGATAAATGCAATACCAGCATGTTTTGCAGTCGTGAATGTGCCGACAGCGATTTATATCATGAACTTGCTTGTTGCAAAAATACCGAAAACGCTGATCACTTGGTTCCATTTGTGGCACGATCAATTGTACTTGCGGTTAATACTTTTCCGGACTATGAAACTTTGATTAAGTTTGTGGAAAATACGATTAGAGATCGGACGAAAGCTGCACCATCGTCAATGGCTGACCCAGAAACGAAATATCGTGCATTCTTAAAATTCCATCAGACTTTATCGCCTAAGGACAAGAAAGAACTATACAAAACCGGCTATCAGATATTTTTCAACTTAATGGCTCACCCGGCTATCAAAGAAAAGAATCTAACTGTCGACGATGCACGATTCCTTATGCATCTGACATTGAAGCATCTCTACATCATTAAATCGAATTCATTCCAGAACAAAACGATCGGCGGCATATTCATGATTCAAAGACATCTCAACCATTCGTGTGCCCCAAATTTATTGCAATACTTCACCGGAAACAAAATGATCTGCATTACATCGCGTTCAATCAAAAAGGGCGCACAATTGTTCATTACGTATGGTAATGAAGAATTTTGGCTCGAGCCCACATTTGTGCGTCAAGAGTTATTGTCGGAGAATTTCGGTTTTAAATGTAAGTGCGAAAAATGTATCGATTTCGGGAAGATTAAAGATGATGCGGATATCACCTGGCTCACGGGCGAAACTTCGGGAGAATTCAAAATTGAACGTGACTATCAAACTCTTCGTGGTGAGATGAAAGGGGTCGACTACACCGATGCTGCACAGTGTGCAGTGCTAAAGGGAAAATGTCTTAAATTATTGAAGAAATACCATTCAATGCCATGGGCATCGGAACTCGATGCCGTTTGTCAATACTATGTAAAACTTTTAAATGGAAATAACTAATGCTGATGACCATTTAAAGTTGCAACATTTTTTTTCTCTATCAAATGCTGATTTTGTAAGCTTTCACGAATCTAGAAGAAATAAATCGTTTATTTTGGAAAGAGAAAAATTGTGGCGTTCCATTTACTGCGATTAGAACTCTCGAGAACTTTGTCTGTCAGCAAATACTTGATTGATCGTGATCGGCGTAACTAATGTGTCCGATTGCAGTGATCGATAATGGTAAATTTGCATTAGTTAAATTAATTATTGCAATACTTTTCAATAAGTTGGGTTTTTAGCATTTTTACAAATTTGTGGCGTATAAAGCTGAAATTTTGCACAAAATTGTCCCCAAAATCGAATAGAATAAAAAGAATTACATTGGTAATCCCGAACTTTTCCGTACCGTTGGCCTGCGTTGTCTGTAGGTACTTTTGGTTATTTTTTGTGAATTTTCTTGAAATAAAGGCAGCGAAGATAAAATAATAAAAATAAAGTGAAAAATCGGTCACTTTAACTAAAACTTCGACAATTTTGTATGAGAGGTACCCGTAAACCAATTCCTATTGGCTTCAAACTTTCTGAGGTTTCATTTTTTCGAGAAAAACAAGATTCTGAAAGTTTCATGTTGATCCCATTTGCAGAAGTTTGATTTTTTGTCCTCAATTTTTGTCGAAATTTTCTTGGAAAAAATTGAGGGCCAAAAACCAAACTTCTGCACATGCGATCAACATGAAACTTTCAGAATCTTATTTTATCTCCAAAAAATGAAACCTCAGAAAGTTTGAAGGCAATCAGAATCGATTAACGGGTACCTCCCATACAAAATTGTCCAAAAATCGGTAATTTTAGTCAAAATTTCAAAAAATTTGTATGGGAGGTACCCGTAAATCGTTTCCGATTGGTTTCAAACTTTCAGAATCTTGAAAGTAAAAAGAATGAAATCTCAGAAAGTTTGAAGCCAATCGGAGTCGATTTACAGGTACCTCCCATACAAAAGTGTCAATTTTTTGAGGTTTTTCTTAGAGCAAGTACCCCAGGATCAAATCGAAAATGGCTCATCTTCGAACTTAAAATAAGTTTTTCAAATACAAAACTTTTGACGTTTCCAGATTTTGATTATCTCAATTATTTTTTGAGTTATCGTGTTAACACACACCAACGACGACGACAACGACAACGACGACAACGACAATGACGACGACGGCACACGAACGGAAAAGTGTCTCAAAAAGTGGTTTTCTACGCGTTTCATGAGTTTTTATGATGATCTAAACCAATTTTGCGAAAAAAGTTTTCGGGACCAATTCCTATACTTTCCCTTGACACGTTGTGTACGGAAAAGTAATAAGAATTTCATGGGCATTCAAGACAGTGAATTTCTCTGACGTGACGTTCTTTTTCACGATAAATGGTAAAAATACGGTAAATACTTCCCAGTTCAGCTAAGGAAGAATTGACTGTTCTTGGCTTTTATTCATGGTTTCTTTTCTTTCTGCAATTCGAAAAGTTACAGACCAAACTAAACTTTATAGCATTTTTTGTATGAAAAATCGTGGAAGAATCATATTTTGGTCTGTAACTTTTCGAATTTGTTAAGAAATTTGTAATCTATTAAATGGTAATCTGGAAAAAATGTATTTCAATTAAATACGACCATCGGTGGAGTGAATTTTGTCAAACAAATGATCAATTTTCTGATTTTTCGAAAAATTTTGTCATTTTTTGTATGGAAGGTGTTAATTATTTTTCCCGCTGTTTTTGGGCAATTTCATCAATAAATGATAACCATTACCGAAAATAATGAAATTGATAGTCTAGTCCATTTATAAAAACTTCAAATATTCTCATAAACATCATTTCATGAATATTTTTTTGAAAAATAACAGAATTAATGGGAAAAAACTGAAATTTCAATGCCGGTCCTAATTAAATTTGCATGACTGTAGATCTGAACACGACTTCCGTATGCAAACTGAGGAATGGTAATGTTTCTTCTTCTTAAGGGTGCAGTCACACTAGGAAACATTTTACTGGAAACATGGAAACAAATTTTCGCAATTGTATGGAAAAAAAAGATGCTGGAAACAAACACTTTTATTTCCATACATTTGCGAAAATTTGTTTCCATGTTTCCAGTAAAATGTTTCCTAGTGTGACTGCACCCTAACACATACTGTAAGTCGCCATATTGGAAGAAATAATGACAATACACTATAAATATGGCCGCTTCCATTGTGCACGATTGTGTGTAAGATAGTGTGAAGGAGATGAAGTAGTAGCATGCACAAAAAGTGTATTGGTTTTCATACGGATGGAACACGACTAAGTTTATTGCTGTTGTGCATATAAATAACCGAATAGATTTAGGAAAATCAAGACAAATCATGAATTTAGAAATCAACCATGCTGTTTCCATCGTTATTAGTTTCATCGTCGTCATCTTCTTCATCTTTGCATACTCGCGCTTCCGAGAAAACTCCCTTAAATACGAAACTATTGGTCAGGAAATCAGAAAGAGCAACCAAATTGTTTGTACGGACATCAGCTACATTCATTCGCGCTCGACATTGGCGCGTCCTACATCCGAAAATTCCAAATTTGAGCTCAATTGATTTGAAGAAAACTTGGTCTTCATCCTCTTTATGCACCAATTTTGAAGATAAATTCCTTTCAAAACCCCCTGGACTTTGGTTATTTTGCATGCCATTCAAAGATCTTAGCATTGAGTCGATGTGCGATTTCATTGCGATTAGTGTCAATTCATCCGATTGGAGTTGCTTCTGAAGCCGACTGAAGATAAACATAAACAAATCAAAGTCTAGAGAACTCTGGAACCGAAGAAATGTATTTCGCAGAATTGATATGATGATTCAATTCTTACTTGTTTTCCAAAATATTAAAACTGTTTGTATTTATCAGCTGGTGAATGTGTTTTTCTCTTCTTTCTCTTTCTCTCTCTTCGGATCTGATGTGAAAAATCGGTATTGTTTTTGTCAGAGCCTTTCCTAGCGGGGGTTCAAGTGGTTCAAAGAACCAGGGCGCACGAGCGCTGAAGGCGCTCGGGGGCGCTTGATATTTCAAAATTGCCGAATTTACTTGAAATAATCGCGAGAGCGCCGAAGGCGCTTGGGCGCCTTTCCCTTGAACTAAAAACTGTTGATGTTTTTAAATAAGGCTTAAAATCGCCGAAGGCGCTCTTTTTTATACATATTTCTTCTCAGTTTGAAATTCAAGGGCGCCAACAGGAATTAATAAAGCAATTCTTCATTTTGAAATGATATAGTTTCTATTTTAAAATAAAGAATTGCTTCCATTCAGCGCCCTTGCCTTTTTTCGGCGCCCTTGAATTCCAAACTGAGAAGAAATATTTATGAAAAAATGGGCTCGAGTGCCTTTGGCGCTCTCGCCTCCGAATTAAGAACATTAGGAATTGTCAATTTAAGGGAAAAGTGCCCGAGCGCTGAAAATGGCTGCGAAAAGGCTCTCCATGAAGCAACGGAAATTTGCGAACGCATTTTGATTGAAGTTAAATTTGATCATCAAAAACCTCGAGCGGCTAGAACAACTGTTACAAATACAAAGGAATTTGGAACAATAGCTTTCTTGCCAATCATTGAATCCGCAACTGATTCAATCACTGATCGTTTTGAAGCACTAAAGCAATACAGCGAATTATTTTCGTTTCTTCATAATTTTGAAAACTATGAAACAAACCGAAAGAGCAGCAGTTTGGAGAAATCATGCAAGAAACTTGAAGTTGTTTCAACGCATGAATCATGCGAAATTAATCGAACAATTTTCGAACAAATTTTTTTTTCCGGATTTCGACCTGAACATTTTTTTGGGTACGTTTCGAACAATCTCGAACAACAAATTTTTTCGAACACGAACGTTTGTTCGAACTTGTTCGTTCGAAAAAAAATTTGTTCGAAATTTTTCGAAACGTACCCAAAAAAATTTTCACCTCGAAATTTGGAAGAAAAAATTTGTTCGAAAATTGTTCGATTGACACCTCTACGCATGATGGAAAATCTGATATCGATGGTGATGAACTATTTCTATAACTTGCATTGGTTTCAACTTTAGTGAAACAAGATAATATTACTCACGCAATCGATATACTAATTTCAATTTAGAAGCGAAAAATGGAAAACTTAGTTTCAAGTGCAGTTACTGCGCTTCACATACTGCTGGCGATCCCAGTTCGCGTTGCAACGAGAGAGCGATCATTTTCAAAGCTTAAGTTGAGTAAAACTTATCTCTATTTGCATTTCTATGCAACAGGTCAAGATAGGCTGAATCATCTGGCAATCATATCAATAGAAAGCGATGTAGCAAATTTGATTCAATATGACAACAAGAAAAAATACATTCTTATGTAGTAAGTCATTTTAATGTATCGTTCTTTTGTTGCTTTTCAAAAAAAAAATTGAATAAATTTGATCATTTCTACGTTTTTTTCACTCCCCTTAAAAATTCCAGCTTGAAACGGCGCCAAAGGATTTTGAACCAGGGCGCCAGCGAAGCTAGGAAAGGCTCTGGTTTTTATATTTGTCACATTCATTTGGACTACCGAAAATACAATTTTTGACTACCGAAATGAAATCTTGACTACCGGTTCTGTGCTTGAATCACGCTTATTTTACTCCCTGCCCCACACTAAGAAAAGGCTGGAAGGAAATATTCCAACCCTGGGTTGTAAATGTTGTCATTGCAGACGATTTTGTGAATTATCCAACCATGGTTGGAATAATGACAGCATTCCCGCACTTGTCAAATTCCAAGGGTTGGAATATTTCCTTCCAGCCTTTCTCAGTGATGATAAATAAACAAGAATTCCACATAGTTCTGTTATTATTATTATTATTATTATTAAGTTTGATGTGATGTTGACGACGCTACACACTCGTCGCAATGTTGTCGAATGCAATTGGGTCGGTGACATGGGATTGATGGTAAATCAGCCGTACACATACCCGGTTTTCTATATGTACGGGTTCCGAGTCGTCGACTGCGCGCGCCATTCACTTAAACGGAAGCACATTTTACTACATTGTTATTTCATCGATTCCTGTGTCATATTTATGTTCATTGGAATGTGAAAACAGCGCATAAATGGTGGTGACTTTTCTCATCATTTTCCTACTCCTTTGCTCTCTATTACTTACGCTATTTATGCATTGCATGCTCTCTTCCGCTTAATGTACCTATATATGAATACTGAAATGAATCTTCGTACGAAGTGCACAGATATTGGTTTGGCTTCACCGTATCCTTCCTTGACAAGAAAATGCTCGCAAAATACAAATGAATAGCAGCAAAAAAACGGACACGAATTCGGCTCAACTGAAAGTCTAATTCCATCTTTGCTGTACAGAAGAAGCAACACCAGAGAACAAAAATGAAACAAACATACTTCAGACTCTCTCTCTCTCTCTCTCTCTCTCTCTCTCTCTCTCTCTCTCTCTTTCTCTCTCTTCAAGTAGACATAATTTCCTTTAAATCTCATTAAAAATGGAATGCATCATCAATAAAACGTCAATCGCGCGTTCCCAATCAATTTTTAATTCAATTTCAAAGCCGATTAAATCCCTCTTTTGATCCCTTATTTATTCTTCGTCGTCGTCATCGTCTTTTTTTTCTTTCTTTCTTTTTTTTGCTTTCATTCGCCGTCATTCTTGTCAATTCATTCTTTGTTTATTTGTTTATGTCATTATGTTTTTGTGCTATTTTCCATCTTGTTTACCACTTCGTGGAAGCTACATGCAGGGAAAATTCAAATGAAATAACAAGACATAAGTACTTGATGTTTCAATTTTGAAGTCGTTGCTTTATCAATTTTTGAAGTGACCGATCAAGTAATTTTATTCAATCAAGCAATTATCACAGGCACAATTCAGACATCCCATTATTACTATAGAGATTGTTGCTACAGCAGAAATGGATTGCCATTTTATTTGCCTTTTTTGTGACCCCACTTTTTATATTTTTTATCTCCTCCTTTCTTTCCATGCTCTGACTTTTCACCGTACTCTCCTTCATCGCCCTTCTTGGAATGCCATCCTGTGTGTAGGAATCAACAATTGTTATTATCATTTCTGAGTTGAATTGCAATATTCACAATTAATTTGCTTGCCTTTATCTTCTTCATCGTGATGACCCTTCTTTCCACCGCCTTTCTTGCCTCCCTTCTTCTCCTCGTGAAAGCTAAGAAAATTCGAATGAAATCATTTTTCAGTAAGATTCGTTCGAGAAATGTTAATGGTTGCTTGAGTAAATGGAATTATTGACAAGAACTGAAAGTGGTTTCTATTTGAAACGACTATAGTTTTTGAAATTCCAGAGAGTGTCTACATGTAGATTTATTCAAATGTGCACATAGATTTATTCAAATAAATTAAAAATATCAAATAAATGTATCGATATTTTTCATGCGTTGCGTTGTTGTAACGCTTCTGTAGTACAAAGTTCATATTCTCTCCTGGTTTCCAAGTCAATTTTGAGGAATTCGGCTGGGATCAGCCTCAAATTTGACTTGGCAGGGAACATGAATTTTGTACTGCGAATGCGTTAAAACATCGTAACGCATGAAAAATATCGATAAATTTATTTGATATTTTTAATTTATTTGAATAAATCTATGTGCAGATATTCTCTGCGAAATTCGAACGTATGGACATTTTTCTCAGGTGAATTTTTCAGTATATCTTTTTTTATCAAAAATACACTAACCCTTTCTTGTGGCCCTTCTTGTGTGAACCTCCCTTCTTGGATCCATATTCCTCGTGGAATTTTCCTGCGATAATAATTCCTATATTATTTTCTATTCAGATTAAAGTTTATCAAATCAGATTTTATTCACCTTCTTTTTCATCATGTGCCTCATCGCCGTCTTCATCAAAGAACTTCGTCTCTTTCTTATCTTCCTCGCCTACAAAAATATTTTTTCATGCATAAAGATGATGAGTCTATTTTTGAAATATTTTTTTCGCAGTCAATTTACCTTTTTTAATTATATGGTGGCCCTGAAAAATGGAAAAAGGTAGTTTTTGATAATAAAAAAAAACAGTTCAAGTGCTCCATCAATGATGGATCGTCATATGATCTCTACGATCGTACATACCTTCTCACTATGCCCCTTCTTAAAGCTCCCTAAAATATTAAATATTAAATATAAAATAATTAACAAATCTGTGGTCTATCAATATACCATTCAAAAATGCAAGTCAGTACCTTCTTCGTTGAATTTTTTGCCTTTTTCTCCTTTTTTCCCCTGAATTGCCAAATTTTCATTAGTTCATCCGTATTCATAATATCCTAGGGGGATTTCTCACACAAAAAGTTTGAGCAAATGTGCAAAAATTTCTATTATTTCTTCATTTTTATTGAAATTGTATGAAATTGTATGAAAATGTACTGAAATGACGATTTTGCTTGAATAAAAGTGTTCTGGAAGGGGGTTTTGGTGGATCCTCAGGATGGACCAGATCCGGTTTGACATTGCCCTGGCCCATCCTGAAGATCCACTTCCAGAACCGGGAGCAGTTCTGAACGATCCTTGAGATCCACACACTCAATATTATAGCGACATCTACACAGTTAACACAATGATTCTAGCAATGTTGAGATTTGACACTTAAATTTGTTTTAGTACCATTTGCTCTAGAAAAAGTTCAAAAGTTCTATAATAAATACATGAAGCTTTGATTTTTGATTTAGTACATTTTGGACTTTTTCCAGTACAAATGGTACTCAAATGGATTTTAGTGCCAAATTTCATATTGCGGTTCTAAAAGTTAGAACCATCGTGTTTACTGTGTATTATTAAAATAGCTTGTAGTAAACGCATTCATAGCATTTCACTGTAGTTACGATGTTACCTATTAAATTCCCCTGTGGTATGTAGTTAACAAGTGTCAAACATGAATGTGTCAGTACTACAAGGGAACTTAATAGGAAACATCGCAACTACAGGGAAATGCTATTAATGCATTTACTACAAGCTATTTTAATAATAGATGTCGCTATAATATTGAGTGTGCACCAAAACCCACTTCAAGAACAATTTCATTGAAGCATAATTCAAAAGTTCAGTGTAAATGTACATTTATTTACACGAGTTGACAAAAATTGATCGAATCGGACCGAATTGAAGAAATTTTTCAAAATTTATAAGAATTCATTCATTTTTTTCGTGAGAAATCCCCCTAGATAATATCATAATCATTTTTAATTTGAATCGTATTCAGTTTTATTACATCAATCAGTGGTTTTCGTCACAAATGACTTAGAGTCCACCATAAGAAACAAAATAAATTGAATTAAAAAAAACTACCTCTTCGTGTTTGTGATGATGACCTATATTTTTGGAGTTTTTTAAAAAATAATTTCATTATTTTTTGCGTGATTTTTTTAAAAATTTATGTATATCTATTAGTGAGACGTAAAAGAACGCAAGTTTGTCCAACTTCGTAGCAATAAAGAGAAGTATGTTTCATTGCAACTAATAATGGTTAAAAGAATGTATATTCGTTTTTGGCGAGTCGTCGCGGTTTTGCACGGTTTCCGCGGAATTAATAAGAGACAATAACTTGGTTTCTTCAGCAAAGTTGTAGTACTTGAGATTCTTTATAATATTGCTGAAGACAGTTATCTCTTATCAGTTCCTCGAAAAGCACGAAAAAAAACTTCTATACAAAATTTGCTTTTTTATGTGCGCCAATGATGAAATTTGCCTATGTTTTTATATGGAGCACATGTTTATGCTATTATAGTGGTTAATATCAAAATTTGGTAAACGCCGGAGGAGAGTTCTATTTCAATGTGCTTTATTGAGTCGAGTTCGAATGAGACTGAGTGGATGCGCATGGCATTGCGACTAATTAGGCTAATCCCGCAATTAGTCGCAATATGAGCGCATGTATAGTCGGAGAGTACATGCATATGTGTATGATAAATACATAGGTGCATGCGCTCTCCGGCTATACTATATTTAAGCGACATCTTGACGCTGAACGCTGAAATATGAAACTTCTATATAAATATACAGCGGAGGCTAGACGGTATACCAACATACTTTCTTTTAACGCAGATTTAGAATCAATAGAAAACATACTTTCCTTTTCAAAAATATAAATCGAGAAAAAAACATAAATTCTTCTACGTCTCACGAATAGATATGTTTTGCAAAACACTTACCTTCGTCGTCGTAATATTTTTTCTTATGTCCCTTTTTTTTATCGTATTCCCCCTGGTTGGACGTGAGAAGGAAAAAAAGCGAGTTAATTTATACGACAATTGAGAATAAAATATGCCATTACCTCATGTTCTTCTTTGTCGTGGTGGCCTTTTTCCCCTTTTTCGTCTCTGCATTTGCAAAACAGTGTTTAGAATGTGATAAAAATCTTCATATTTTCAACAAATTTGCTTCAAGAGTTAGAATTATCAATGAAGTCAATAAGCATCAACATAATGTATACCATGTATAGTATCAATACGTTATGGTAAACAAAAAAAATGCTTTGAACTATGTTCATCACATTATAACGTAAGTTTAACGTACTACGTTATATATGCCACATTTTCAAAGCACTCTCTATATATTTATGTCTCATTAAAATGCTCGTTATTTTCACAATTAGATCACAACAGAAGCACACAATTCTTATTTTCTTACCCATGTTTGCTTTCGTATCCTTTTTCGCCTTTTTCTCCCTTTTCCTCATCTTCCTCGCCATAAAAATCCTCTTCGCCACCTTTCTCCCATTCTTCTTTTTTGTCACTAGCTGCCACTTCTAAATCATGATCGTAAACTTTGAATGCGTTTGCTTGCAATAAACTCACACCAAGCAATAGAAAATTGGCAAACATAAACACAAATAGCCGATTCCTCCTCATATTAAACGATGCCACAGAAGAAAAACACAATTCCAGTTCAAGATTTTCGGACAGACAATTCCGATGCAAATAGATGATGCATGCGTTGCAAAGGTTTCATATAAACTGAATCGATAGCTCTGCAGCGTTAAATATTTATAGGTTTTCGCTTTCGATCAAATGTACCGAATCAAGTAAGTTGAATGTACATATTCAATAAGAAATTACCCAAGATCTGCTATTATTAGTTTCATTGACAATTTCCAAGAATTTTCGTATGTTCCATTGTGTTCTGTGTGTTGAATGGAGTCAGAGCGAATTGGTTGTGTGCGCCTTCAAGCATCTGGTAATGCACAAAATTGAAGGTTAAACCGAAACGCGGAAACAATGGAATGTGTGTGAAAAGAGAATATAAACCGAAAATCAATATGCCATTGAATAAGTGACACAATATCGAATAATAAATTACGTGTACGCGCCACACCATGTTATACATCTTTTGAATTCCATTCGAGCCAAGTGTAACGCTCTCTTTTTCAAATTGGCTCGAGTATCGTGAGGAGAGGGAAAATCAATGAAGCGTTGAAAACAAAATACAATAACAAAAAAAAACATTGCGTACTTCTTGTTGAGTCTCTGTTTTTTTCTGCTTTTCTTGTGGAAATAGGGTGAAACAATGAATACAAAGTTACAATTGGATGAAATATATGGCACTTGCCTCTGTTCTTTTTTTTCTTCATTGTATGTGCGTATGTACCGTTGGCTTTGCGAGTTATGTCGGCTTGTTTCGCGTGAAAAGCCAACGGTTCGGTTCATGTGCGTACTTAGCTTCGATAGAATTTATGAACGACAAAGTTAAACAATGTTGCTTTATGTTTTGAACGAATTAAAGAGAGAAAAAAGTGCAATTTTTTCCTCCATTCTCATGATGCCGAATGGAAAGTTCACGTATAGAGATGTATATTTTCGAAAGATTTATGGTAAATCTTCAGAATGCAATGTACGTTAAACGTTGTTTAGTCTTAGAGATTCTTTGTGATTCCGCACTCTCAAACCGAAGCTCATTGCCATCCAACAGTAAACTGACTATATTACAGCTAGCCAAGACGCGGTACCAGAACAGTGAATCGATGGTCGATTCACGGGAAGAAGATGTTTAAAGTTTAAAGAGAAAAGGGTCCTACCCTTTTGGTTTTTTTTAGTGTAGAATAGTGTTAAAAAGGAAGTCTATTTATAGTTCAAAATTTTCACAACCTTTTCATATAACATTAGATCATATCAAGTAGAAAAAAGTGTTCCTTTTAATTTGTTCCGTTTGAACAGTAATAAGTTGGTAATAAGTAAGTTAGTAGCCATACAACATTGCAGTACTCAAGATGAGACTGAACCAGTGCGTAGTATAGTGTTTTGAGCGTTTGAACGTCGGTTATGTCGTAGCAAAATCTCCTGATGACACCAAGGGCAGCCGTTGCTTAAATTGATGTCGAGCTGGAATTCCTCAGTTTGCTGTGACTCTTCGGTGGGCGATTGTTGAACGTCTTGAGTCGTTGAGTCATCGTAGTTAATACTGAAGAAGTTTGCAAACAGATTGGCCTGTTCCGTTTCGTTTGCCGTGCAGTGCGCACATCACCAAATTGCATGACTTTTGGTTTGTTGTCGGTGCTCTTCTTTGAATTGACATATTGCCAAAATCTCGATACGTCATGCTTGAGTGAGGATTTCATTTTGACCACGTAAGCGTTGTACAATTCCGTGTTCAATTTTTGAAACGCCAAAATGTATTTCCATTCGTAGTACGGTTTGAATCCAGACCGTCTGTAGCGTTTCCATGCCTTATTCTTCCTATTTTTGTAGTGTAATTAGGAATTTGTTTTTCCATGTACATTTTTGTATCGACTTTTAACGACCTAACTTCAACTAACAAACAATCAGATCAAGAGATTTCTACATTTCTACTGATATTGTGAAACTTTTTCCCCCCATTTCATTTTTCAAGCCCCAAAAAACAAGGAATCACAAATCACAATTGAACCGATCGCATTTTTTCCCTTTTTTTCCCCAGTTGTAGAAGAAGCGGCTGAAGTGTTGGAAGCCCATATCTTCACTGCGCTTTGTGAGCGAAGTGGTCACCTGATTTTAATCGGTGACCACTTGCAATTGCGGCCGAATCCAGCTGCGTATGATTTAGCAAAGAGATACAACTTGGAAATTTCATTATTTGAAAGAATTATCAAGAACGGAATGCAGTACCACCAGTTGAAGCAGCAGCACCGAATGCGACCTTGCATCTCTTCACTTCTTGTGCCACACATTTACGAGCAATTGCTCGATCATCCATCCGTGCTTAACCCTTTGACGACCAATGGGACACATATGTCCCATTTTGTTTTTCATCTGTAATAACTACATTTTTTAACCAATTTTAGTTAAATTGGTTTCGTTTGAAAGAGAATTAATGTAGCTATCAGAAAGTACCATAATATTGGATATTTATTGTAAACGCAATTGGATAGAACACTCTAAAGTCAAAAAATCTTAACTTTTCTTTCAACTTCCGCCAAATGCTATATAATGTTGAAAATTTGGAATAATGTGCGAAATGTCCATTACTTTCCAAAAAATCATCGACTTTATTTAGAAAAAACGTTTTTTCCACTTTTTATTGCGTTTGGCGCGATGGGACATATGTGTCCAATTGGTCGGTAAAGGTAAATAAATACCCCGTATTTCCCTGTATTTTGGCCATTATTCGCGAATTTTCAAACACAAAAATTTACAAAAATATCATTAAATTCGTGATTAAATGGGCACAACAAAGCACAATTCAAACCATTTTCGGTTCAAAACAATTCTGAATATTTTAAAAACGAAAAAGATTTTACACGTAGTTCTTATGGAAGACATATTTTTTTCCATACAAAGGTACTTACCGTTACCGACCAATGGGACATATACATATGTCCCGTCATTTTTTTCATATTTCTAGTTTAAAAAAATTAATTTTTGATAACATTTTTATTATGGTTTTTGGGGTCGCTGAGCACGAATCTGCAATCAGAATTGCAAAATTC